TAATTGATTGAAGTCCTGAAAAGATGGTTTGGGAGGAGTTGAAGCAGGAGGGATAACAATCTGTGGAATAGTATACCCACTAATAGTATCAGTTACTACGGTAGTGCGGCCATAGCCAGAAGGACGATTGCGAGAAAATTTCTGCTTTAGCTCGGGATGAAGCTTAAAGCAACGATTCTTTACATGACCCGTGGCTCCACAATGTTGACAAATAACCTTTCCCTCTGAAAGTCTAGAATTAGCAGCAAGAGCCATCTGATCAACTGGAGTCTCTGGTAAAGCTACTGGCTGAGAGATCTGACGTCTATACTCCTCATGATCAACAGTAGCGAAGGCATCATATAAATCAGGCATAGGAAAGGTGTTTATGATCTGAGTTCTAAGAGCATCATACTCAGATTGTAAACCCATCAAAAACTAGTAGGTATGCTGGCGGTCCAGTCTCTTGACCAAAAGAGTTATAGCTTCTTCAAAGAAATTGGAGAGAGGTTCATACTGTGCTTATTCTTCCCATCTAGACTGGAGGTACCCAAAATGCTTTGATTCTGATAACTTGAGTGTCTCCTAAGATACATGAGCAATCTCCTGATAGAGTTCAAAGATACAAGCGTCATTGCGGGAATGGGCAATGCATCTTGTTAAGGGCTTGCCACAGACAAAAAACGGAAGTGTGAAACATGAACATATTATAGATATGCTCCTCCATTGAGTTGAAGATCCAACCTAGAAAGGTGCACCTGTCCATGTCCCATGTAATATATTTAGTATCCGTCTTTTTTGGTTCCTTGACTAGACCCAAAAACTGACCAGTTTTCCCTTTCCCTCCAATATAGAGTTGAAGAGAACGGGACCAAGATACGAAGTTGCGCCCATTCAAGAGCACACTTGTAACCCACTGTGCCATAGTATGATGTGCCGAAGATAAAGTATGTTGGACCGAGGATAAAGTGTCCTTTTGGCTGCTAGAATCAGTCATAGTACCAAAATAAGGTTGGTCCACACGTCAAAGCAGGAGAGAGAAAAAAAAAAAACAAGGCTGGAAAAATCGGCGCTTTCCTCCAAATAAGCTGCCGAACAAACACCGGCAGCCCACAAAGAAAAAAAAAACACTAGAAGGATCCTTAGGTCATAAAAAACTTAAGGGAATTCTCCTAAAAAAAGGAGTAAAAAAAAGAGGGTTACTCGAGAGGTTCGACGCAAGGGTTGGGAGGAGATGGAGGTGTGCCGAAGATGAGGGAAAATGGAGAGAGGGGGAGAGAAGGTGACGGCTTTGGGGAGAAAGATGGGGAGGCGAAGGTTTTTGTTTTGCTCTGATACCAAAAAGAAGAAGTTTTTGGTTTTGGCTTACTCAAACCGAGAGCCAAGAGCTATATTTATATAAAAGAATAGGGTACAAAGAAAGGAAACCATATCAATGAAAAATAGGAAATATGCCAAAATCTATGTGATCCCATGATTACGGGGATCTTATCTACGTGATCCCATGATAGTAGGGATCTTACATAAAACACCTAATAAAAGGCTGGAAACAACTAATAAAAATAAAAATAATAATAATACAGATATTTCAACAGTAATGAACAAATTTGTGAGACAGATGCAGTAATAATTGGAGATAAAGTAAAAGAAAATTGATTAAGATGATTAGGTTTGTACAACAAAGACTAGTAACTGTACCGGTGAGGATGAGTGATGGTAATGATAGGAAGGGAAAACCAAGTCCAATATGGGTTGAGATATAGTAAGAAAATATATCATAGCACATAGTTTGACTAAGATTAATGCCTTGGATGGAGTAGGATGGTGAATATTCATAATATGCAGGCCGTTAAACTTCTGATCCTACGATCCCACAGATTCTACTATGATCCTACAATCAAACGAGTTTGGTGCGATCTAGATTGATTAGGCATTTAGGATCAATCCTACAATCCAGATTGCAATTTAACAACCATGATAGAGTTGACGAATTTATGAAGGTGTAGGTGTAGCTGTAGCTGTTCCACTACCAGCAATACTACAAGATTGGTCAAAAGAGAGTAGAATAGATGATAGAGTACAAGATTGGAAAAAAGTGACCTCTTCAGGCATTATGTGCCAAAGATTGAGTTAGATAATACAAAACAAGTGATATGATTTGGATGGATTTTCTATTTGGACAATAGTATTGATCCTAGAGCTAATACATGAAACAAACCTATTTGATGGTATAACCACAAGCCCAATGGTGGAAAAGGATAGGTACCAACGATTAGTTGGAAAGCTTATTTACTTATCCCATACTAGGCCTGATATTGCCTATGCTGTGGGAATTGTCAGCAGCTTCATGCACGCTCTAATCAAGACCATCTGAACGCTGCATTCAGGATCCTAAGATATCTCAAAGGTACTCCAGGAAAAGGAATTTTATTCTCCAAAAATGGGAATATGGAGATTGAAGCCTACACTGATGCAGACTGGGGATGATCACTCAGTGATAGACGCTCTACTTCAGGGTATTATACCTTCGTAGGAGGTAATTTGGTGACATGGGGGAGTAAGAAGCAAACTGTTGTGGCTAGATCAAGCGCTGAAGCTGAGTTCTGTGCAATGGCTTTGGGAATTTGTGAGTTACTTTGGCTGAAGTTTATTTTAAAAGAACTGAAGTTGGAAAGCCGTAATCCTATGAAACTCTATTGTGACAACAAAGCAGCCATTTGTATAGCACACAATCCAGTACAACATAACAAAACATGTTGAAATCGACAGACACTTTATCACGGATAAAATTGAAGGAGGCCTAGTCTGTACTCCCTACATCCGATCTAAAGAACAGCTAGCCGATACCTTGACTAAAGGTTTGGCTAAAGGACAGTTTCAGGAGTTAATTGGCAAGCTGGGCATGACTGATATCTACATGCCAGCTTGAGGGGGAGTGTGGAAAAACAGATGACCAGAAAATCTGGGATTCTAGGCGCGGTTGAACCCAGGATTCGGATCCAATTTATTTAGAATTATTCCCTAAATAAATTGGAATGATTCCTTCCCATTTTAGTCTCTGATTCCATCTGTTTGTACAGCTGCAAATCTTTCATTTTGTACATTTATTTCTTTCCTTAATTATAGTCTGGAGTGTAGTTGTCCTTTCTTGTATATATAGGCCTTGTACAATCTGTAAACGATGAAGGAAATATAGAATTCCCTATTCAAAAACTTTCCTCAAAACCTTGACTTCAGCCAAGGATGTATTTATTAGATGAAAATTTGAATTTGCCTTTGCTGTCACTCTGATTTTGTACGAGAGAGAGAGAGAGAGAGAGAACCACTATTGTACAAATCGCCTCTCTTACAGTTATAGTCAATTAAATTTGCTTTATAGAATTACACCACTATATATTTGCTTTCTATGCCTGGTTTGGTGGTTAAACACTTGAGCATCAGTTCTAACGGCACAAGTTTTTGGTCCTTAGAGCAGCCACTTCGTGAAATATCGAAGGTTAGGTCTTTCTTGAGTCCTCCCTCCCAAGACCCTACCCTGATGGGTCCAAACTGGGTAATATTTCTATGCTTGAGGCTGTAAATTTAGTGTAATTTTTGGTATGATTAATTTTTTATTTAATGGGACCAAAATTTGAGTTGTTTTTCAAATGTCACCAATGTTTTGAGGTCTGTAACTTGTTGGTAAAGCTGTACCTTGAATCCCAATGTGCTTTTTCCTCTGATGTTTCTATTTTTTCGTTCAATATATTGAAAGAATCAAATTTTGAACTTCTAAACACAACAGCAATCAAGCCTTTTTTCCCAACTACTTGGGGCTACATGAATCCTATTTTTCCATTCAGTTTCAACTTTTTATTTTTTTAACATATGAACTGAATATTCTCAAAATTTGAAATTTTACTTACCGCATGTTTTGGCCAAGTTTCCAGCCACATTAATAAAATATAGTTAGATGGCCATTTTTAAAATTTCATTTAATTATGAGTTTCATGGCTAATTTTTCATCCATAAGTTGTTTTAGTCATCTTAATATTTTATACTCATTGATCTACATTTCCTTACAAAGCGGTATTGTCACAATACATTATTTAATGAAAAAGAAAGTATTGTGAAATTTTAATATAATTGTTTCATCTTTAGTAATTTTTTTTAGCCTAAGTATTAATTATCACATATCTTGATATCTTAATTATAATAATAAGCTAGTTACTTGAATTTTTTTTAGGCAACTTATCACCCTAAATATGCTAGGTACTTGGACTTTGTAAGGAAACTTATTACCCATTAATTGGCTGCTGAAGTCTTGAAATGGAACTATCAGTTTCCTTATGAGTGTTTTGCTTCTGATATAGTCTGCATGAAGTCACACTACTTCTTTTGGACGTAGTTACACCTTGTTTGGTAGCTTTGTTATTTTCTACCGCAACAGTACCTTCAACTTACATGTGTTAAGCATTAGGTGAAGTCAAGGCCAAAGAAAAAATTTGCCCATCTTCTGATTTCTGAACCAGTAACTTCCTCTATCTTCCGGTTATATCTTTGTATGACTTTGCTTAGAAATTGGTCCCTGGTGAACACATGTCGAGCCGAACTGTGTATAAGTGCTACCTTGTATTCCAGATCCCATGCAAAGAATCCAGATCAATAGATGTTGTCAACCTCCAATTACGACAGTGAAGACTGCTGGAAGTAACTTCACACTACCTATGCATATTTTAGATGCTCCTGGTATGTCAGTTGTGACTTGTGAGCTTATTGCTATATGTCATGAATGAACTGAGGGTGAGACAGAACAATGGACAGATACAAAAAATCTGCATGGAACTGAATTGACATTTTTTTGCTACCCTTGGTGTTTTCTTTCTTAGATATGCTTATTTTTCCCCACTGAACTAGATCTTCTTTCCTTTCTGTCATCTGTGTGCACGCGCGCGCGTGTGTGTGCGTGTGTGTGTATTCATGGTGTTTAATTATTTTATGATTGAAAATTTTGAATCAAATTGTCTCTTTTCTCTCCCTAGGGATCTTCCAATGCTGGACCAGGCAAAGATGATGCTGAGAAGGAAGTCCTCGATATCAATGCAAAGAGTGCTATAATTTTTGTCCTAATGGCATCCACATTTCTGGTGCTACTTTATCTATTTATGTCATCTTGGTTTGTCTGGGTGCTGATTGTACTTTTCTGCATTGGTGGAATTGAGGTATGGAAATTCATTATTAGTATTTTCTTAGTGGGGGAAAGATTCTGATTATCTATTAGCTGGATTGACTAATTATTAAGGCATTCTATTTCTGTCTTTGCTTTATCCTGCTGTGTTGAGAGGTTGTGCAACTATCTGGTTGTGGCAAAATGAGGGGGAACTCTATAAATTACGAAATTACTCATTTTTATACTTAATCCAGAACAGTGAATGCCTTGGAATATTCAATGAATTGTAAAACATTTCTGCACTTGTCAACCAAATTCCTTGCATTTGGACATGATAATATCTATTTTTTTAATCCTAGTTGACATGATAATATCTCTGGGTCTGTCATAAAACAACTCCTTGTCCCCCTATTTCTGAATTCTTCATTGTTTACCCCCCGCCACACACACACGTGTGTGTGTATGTATTCCACCTGTCAATTTCCTGATAAATTGTGAAGAATTCTGTGCAAAATGTGGGTTATTGGGGAAACTTTGCAGGGTAACTAATTTACTTCTAAATAAACTTGTTTAACACCATTTTTATATTTCGTTCTATATATAATGGAATTTAATTTATCATCAGAGGTGCCATATTTGAATAGCATGGTAGCTTAATTTTTGGTATCTGGTGGCTGCAATTGAGATGATCAGGTTGTATTTGAATTTGTAGTATTTACATGTTCAACAAACTTTATGGTGCATATAATTTTTGTTGTGACACTGGATAAGTTGTCAAAAAATTATAAAAAATATGTGAAAGGATTCAAGGACTCTCTCTTTCACATATTCAAACTAAATTGAATATTCATGATGCTTCACTCATAAATTCATCATTACTTTTGCATATAAGTTTTCTTTTGATACACTCATGTAGATTAGTTTGTAATATATGAATCTGTAGAAACTTCCAATACAACAATGGCCTACAAAAGGCATATTGTATGATTCTTTATATATATATATATATATATATATATATCAGCTAATGATATACTAAGTGGTTCTATCTGCACTTTGTGTGGATTTATAATTATGGGCAGTTAAAAATTCATAGGTTATTGTTAGCAGATATGATAGCACGATTTATAGAATGACTCATCATATTAACAGAGATTTGATTGTGCTATAGAATATGCCATAGAATATGCTTTGATTTGATTTAGATTTGATTTAATTTCCTTTCTTGTAATATGAGCATGTGCTCTTTTTATTTATAAATACTAGAGGTGTGAATGAGTGATTTATCTCATTCAAGCCTTTACACAATTATCTCCTTCTTCTTCTTTTTATATTTCTTCTTGGTATCAAAGCCAACACCTTTCCACACCTTCAACAGCCTTGCCACTTATGCGTCAGCCACTTTAAGCTGTTGCGACATCGTGTGACAGTGCCTACACATGATTTTTTGTGTTACTGTTTTGTGATCGAAAATATGTATTTTTTAAGCTTTACAATTTATTTTTTACTCTTCTAAGGTTGGGTAAATTGGGATAGTTGGTCTCCAACACCTAGAAGGCCTTGGGTAAATTTTTTTGAGTCTAGAGAGAAGTTCCGGATATTGAGCAAGAGGCTGTCCGACTATAAGTAAGTGGACAGCGCTCCTTGAAAAAGTCTGTATTTGAACTTTTTGGGAATGGTCTGAGGAGACATGGTCTGAGGAGACATTGTTATTGTGGTGTTTTTGGAGTTGTTTATTGTCGTATGATAGATTATGACAGATTTAGGGTCCTCGACTGTTAATTCTCTTGGCTTAAGTTCTGTTGGTGGTGATGCCATTTTTCCCACCAACTCATCAGAAAATTCAGGACTTCAAATCACCACAATGAAGTTGGATGGCTCCAACTATTTGATTTGGGCACAATCTACCAAGATGTTCATTGGTGGCAAAGGCAAGATTGGTTATATTATTGGTTCTGAAAGAGAGCCAGCTGATTCAAAGAAGGCATATCTACAACAGTTTGCAGATAACACTATGGTTATGTCTTGGCTAGTCAATTCGATATAGCCAAACATAGCCATTGGCTATATGTTGATGAAGACTGCTAAGTAGATTTGGGATTCAGTTTAACGCACTTATTCTCAGAGACAGGATAATGCACGAATTTTCTAGTTGGGGCGAGATATCACGGGGATTTCTCAGGGTGACTTTATATCACCAAGCTTCGTGCTATTTGGGAGGAGATGTCATATTATGATTCCTTCCACTCTTGGAGGATCCAGATGATGCAGTTTTATATGCAGGGATTGTGGAGAAGAATCGAGTGCTTCAATTTCTTGCCGTGTTGAACGACGAGTTTGAGTATGCTCGTGTTGGGTTTATCTTCATTCCTTACTCTTGAGGATGCATACTCCTATGTGTTGCCTGATGAGAGTTATTGGACTCATCTTGATCGTCCTGCTATGGCAGTTCGTGTTCCCAACCTTCCAGGAACTACACCATACCAGTTAGTTTAGAATTCTACCACTGGTCCTCCTTTGAGACATAACAATGTGGGCGGTATGACCATTGCGGGAAAATTGGTCACATCAAATCTCATTGTTATGCACTACATGGACGCTCACCGCAATAGAAACAACAACCTTGATCCTCTACACATTCTGTTACACAACTAGTCTCGTTGTCGATTCTTGACAACTCTGCCTCGTCATCTTCTACCAGAGTTACCTTACTTCAAGCTTATTTAGACAAGTTCAAACAATTCTTCAACCAAAAAGAGGCATTATCTCAGCCAACCTCAACATATGCCCACTTAAGTACTATTTCGTCTGCACATAGCGTATCTATATCTTCGACACCATGGATCATTGATTCTGGTGCTTCCGATAATATGACTGGTATATCCTCATTCTTCCAATCTTATAGTATATGTTCTGGCCATCACAAGGTAAGCCTTACGGATGGCTCTATCTTCCATTGCTGGGAATGGTCACATATCAGTTATTCCTTCATAACTTTGTCCAATACACTTCATGTTCCACAGTTAACTACAAATCTTATTTCTATTAGTAGCGTTATTAAACAATTAAATTGTAGTGTAACATTCTTTCCCCACTATATTTTTCAGGATCTAGTGTCGAAACGGATAATTGGCAGTAGGCGTGAAATGGACGGCCTAAACCTGTTGGATGCTCCGTTGTCACTCAAGCACGTTCAGTGTTTTTTTCTAATTATGTTTCATCTAATAAAGCTTAACTTATGCGTTAGCACATACGTTTAAGACATATTTCTTTCGGTTAGTTAAAACATTTGTTTACTTCCTTATTTTGTAACGTAGCAGTCTCAGATTTATCTTGTGAGACGTGCCACCTGGCTAAACATGTTTGTTCCAATTATCAATAAATCTGCTTTAACACCTTTTGATCTTATTCATTCAGATGTGTGGGGTCCTTACCCAGTTATTTCTAGTCTTGGATTTCGATATTTTGTGTTCATTGATGATCATAGTCGTGTTACATGGGTTTATCTTATGAAAATAAAAATGAGGTGTACACCACTTTTAAAAATTTTATGACAATGGTTTAGACTCAATATGGTCGTACCATTAAAAAATTTAGATTTGACCAGGGTACGGAGTATGCTTATTGGGGAGGTACAACAGTTATGTACAGAATTTAGGATTAAGCATCAAATGTCTAATGTTAAAACTCCTCAACAAAATTACCGTTATGAGAGAAAGAATCGCCACATCCTTGACTTAGCCAGAGCAATCTGCATTAGCATGAAGTTCCCCAATCATTTTGGGGATATGCAGTTCTTACAGCTATCTACATCATCTAGGGTTCTTAACTTTGCAACCCCACTCTCAATCTTACATCCCACAAATTCATCTTCTTTTTTTTTTTTCTCCGCGAGTCTTTAAGTGTGTGCGCTTTGTTCAGCAATTGGGGCATACTCGTATAAAACATGACCCTAAGGCTTTGAAGTGTGTGTTTTTGGGTTATTCTCACTCTAAAGAAGGTTATAGGTGTTACCATCCTCCCAGTTGTCAGCGGTTTATATCTATGGATGTTTCTTTCTTTGAGCATACACCATACTATAGTGGTTCAGTTGGTTCTCAAAATGAATGGTTCCCATTGAACAAATTTGATGATCACCTTCTTTCGTTTTCAACTCCTTTACCTTTACTTGTTTCATCTTCTATTATTCCTCCTCGTGATACCCCTCCAGTAGGGGGGATTGTTCCTTTTCCATAGGTTTATAGTCAGAGACAACAGGTATAAACTTCTACTCCCACGATCGACTGCCTTATTCCTTCGGCACCAGCTCCGCCTTTCAAGCTATTGTTTCACTTGATGATTGCCCCATTGCTCTTCTGAAGGGTAAACGTTCTTGTACTCACCCTATTTCTAATTTTGTATTTGATTGTGCTCTCTCACCCTCCTACTTGTTTTTGTTGCCTCGGTTCCTCTTCCTTCTACTGTTGCAGATGCACTAGCACAACCTCAATGGCGTGATGCTATGACAGAAGAACTACAAGCACTTGAGAAAAATCAGACATGGTTCCGCTTCCTAGTGGACGAAAAGCTGTGGGTTATCATTGGGTGTTTACAGTTAAGCATAATCCAGATGGCTTAGTTGCTCGTTACAAGGCTCGGTTGGTTTCCAAGAGTTATGCTTAGACTTATGGCATAGATTATCAGGAGACTTTTGCCCCTATTACCAAGATGAATACCACCCGTGCACTATTTTCCATTGCTGCGATTTGATCTTGGCCTCTATTTCAATTAGATGTCAACAATGCCTTTCTCAATGGTGATTTTCAAGAGGAGGTGTATATGGTTCCCCCTCAGGGCTTTCGTTCTCTTGCTCATTTCGGTATGTCTATCGTCTTCGTCGCTCCTTGTATTGCCTCAAGCAATCTCCTCAAGCTTGGTCTAATCGCTTTGGCACTGCCATGCTCCGGTTTGGTTTCCATCAGAGTGTAGCTGATCATACCTTTTTCTTACGTCATTCAGGAGGAAAGACAATTGCTCTTATTGTGTATGTCGAAGCTATTGTTCTTACTGGAGATGATATTACCAGAATTACTAAGGTTAAGAGCTATCTTGGCCGTCAGCTTGAGATTAAGGATCTTGGTCCCCTTCGGTACTTCTTAGGCATTGAGGTGGCTCGCTCCAAGGCTGGCATTTTTATCTCTCAACTCAAGTATGTTCTTGAACTGCTTTCTATTTCTGATCAGCTTGGCACTCGTCCTGCTAATACTCCGATTAAGCAGAATCATTGGTTGGCTGATTATGAGGGGGAGTTGTTGTCGGATGTTGGTCAATATCAATGACTTGTTGAGAAGCTCTTCTATTTATCCATGACTTGACCTGACATTGATTATGCCATGAGTGTCGTGAAGTCAATTCATGCACTCTCCTCATACCCCTCACTTTGATGCAGATATTCGGATCCTTCGCTACTTAAAGAGGTGTCCGGGGCCTTGGTATTTTGTTTTCCAATCATGGTCACTTACTTGTTAAGGCTTAGACAAATGCTAATTATGCAGGATCAGTTTTAGATAGGAGGTCCACTTTGGGCTATTGTACCACTATTGGTGGTAACTTGGTTACTTAGCGTAATAAGAAGCAGGATGTTGTCTCTCGATCTAGTGCAAAGGAAGAGTATAGGGCTATGCTATGGCTCTTGGGGTGTGTGAGTTGTTATGGCTAAAAACTTTGATGACGGACTTGTGCCTTCTAGTTTCGTTTCCATTCCCACTTTACTGTGACAACAAGTCTGCTATTAGCATAGCAACAAATCCCATTCAACATGATAGAACTAAGCATATAGAGGTGGACCGTCATTTCATTCGAGAGAAGATCCTCTCTAGTCAGATTTGCACTCCATTTGTCACAAGCTCTCAGCAGCTTGCAGACATTCTTACAAAGAGTATCCATGCACCAACTTGAGGGGGACTGCTCGCAGATATGATAGCATGATTTATGAAATGACTTACCATATTAGCAGAGATTTGATTATGCTATAGAATATGTCATAGAATATGCTTTGATTTGATTTAGATTTGATTTAATTTCCTTTCTTGTAAAATGAGCATGTGCTCTTTTTATCTATAAATACTGGAGTTGTGAATGAGTGATTTGTCTCATTCAATCCTTTACACAATTCTCTCCTCCTCCTTTTTTTTATATTTCTTCTGTTTTCTTTCTTGGTTTCTTAGAACAACTATGTGGAGCTTCATCTTAATAGTTTGTTCAGAAGTGAATGTTCTGGTTCCACATTCTAAAGCCTGAAAGCTTCAATTTTTGAAAATTGATGTTTCATGGTTCTTCATTTGTTGAAAGTCATTTCTCGGGATAAACTAATTCTTAGTTATTTCTGGGATTTTGCATTTTGATGCTTTTATATATTCATGTAATGTTCTAGAAGCACATTAACGCTTACCAACTTTTCAACCTAAATGAATTATGTGCAATTTATTTATTTTTGGTTTAAATTGTTGTCTTGTGTAGATTGAATGGAAGCAGTTCCAAATATTATTTACCACTACTTCAAAATTAAACCAGCAGTAACTCTTCTTAACAGTTACTCCTCAGCCTCTATGACTTGCTTATTGCAATTATTTTTGTTATCAGGGAATGCATGCTTGCATACTGTCTCTTATGTTAAGGTATAACTGGATGTCACGTCTGTTTTGATTTGACCTTATCAACTAGCCTGTTCGTATTCAATAGAATTTATTTGGTTATTTATTTAGTTTTCTCTCTTTGTTCCTTGGCTTTTACTTGTTGAGCAGAAAATGCAAAAGCTGTGGGCAAAAGACAGTGAGTATGCCTCTTCTGGGGGAGGTTTCCATTCTCTCCCTTGCGGTTTTTTTATTTTGCTTGGGATTTGCCATTTTCTGGGCTGTTAATCGAAAGGCATCATATTCATGGATTGGTCAAGATATTCTTGTAAGTTTTGTCTGTATCACCTATTTTTTACTGGACTAGTTTACTTTTTTATTAAATGTTTGTCTGTATCACCTATTTTTTCAGGACTAGTTTACTTCTTTCATAAAATGTTTGTGACAATAATTGTAGTTGCTGACATGCATGCTTTCACTGGTATCTTTTGCTGAATGGAAACTTTACGTTGATATCTATTTCATGGTTACTCTAAGACACTTTAATAGCTCTCTGTAACCGAACATATGATTGTTCTTTCCATTGTATGAATCAATACTTTTCCAAATACTTGATGTATGTGTCTTTTCGCAAATTTATTGGTTCTTTTCGTTGTATGAATCAATACTTTTCCATGTGCAGTTCTGTACCTACATGTCTTTTTGCAAGTTTATATATGTATTAATTGCACATTTATTTGTAATACTTGTATCTTACGTTTCACGATTATTGGTATATTAAATTTATGTACCATCTTTGGTGTTTGTGTACCATCTTTGGCGTTGTCATCCTCGTTGCCAAGTATTTTGTTATGACAAACGTCGTGAACCTATAACAAATCAAGAAACTATCAGAACAATAAACATGCACCACACACAGAATAGAGCGATTTATGTGGTTAGGCAAAGCCTACGTCCACTGGTGGAGATGAGGCAAAAGATTTCACTATGCGAAAATCAGGAGTTTACAAGTTTTAGCCCCCAAACGCTAGCGCTTTCTCTGTCACTCTCTTTCCTATGGTTTTAGTGTTCCCTCTTTTTTCTACTCCAAACACTAAACGCCCTTATATACTAAGCTATAAGAGAAACCTAAACAGGTTCCACGACCTGCAAGAACAAAACAGGTTAAAGAACCTTTTCCCTGTGCAATCACATCTTTGATGAAGTGCAACTTGACATCAATGTGCTTGGTTCTTTCATGGAACATCTAATTTTTAGTCAGATTTATGGCATTGTGGCTGTCGCAAAACACAATCAAATCATCCTTCTACAAGCCTAAATCACGATTCATGAACCAAGCCTCTTAACTATATAGTTTCCTTCACTGCCTCCACGGCTGCATGTACTCAACCTCAGTAGTAGACAATGCAATTGTGGACTACAAAATCGCCTTCCAACTGATCACACTCTTATAAAGAGTGAAGACATATCCTGTCAAGACCTCCTCTTATCAAAATCTCAGCATAATCTTGTGAGTTTATGCAGCGGAAGATAACGTGGAAAGTTTAAGTTTCTAAGGAAAAGATTAAAATCTGTGTCTTTCTATTTTAATCAGCTTTACTTAATTTAGCAATTAATCAATTAGTTACATGCAAGATAAAAGTAAAGTAAAACAAATAAAGTTTGAGAGATGACACTAGGATTTTTAGCGATGAAACCCCAATTGGTAGAATAGACCAATTGTTATGGGAAAAACCTCGTGGATTGTGCGATCCAAAATAAACCGATCCACTGTGTATGAAACAAAGTATAATAGGCTTTGACTCAAGCTCACACCCTATCGTTCTACCAAAAACCAATTGCTGACAATCCTCTGGCTTTGTGACGTCCCATCCAACAGCCTTGACTCCAGGCTTACTCTTGATCTCTGTAGAAGGATTGCTGGTAGATCATACAACACTCCTCAAATGCTTTGACCCTTTCAAAGTGTAATCATTTCACCCATTTTCTTCAAGATCGGAATTTTATGTAGAAAAAATAGATCTGCTTCTCTGATCGTTGTTGATGCAATATTCAATAAACTTTGAACATGATCAGGATTTGCACAACACCCTAAAATCACTCTTGTGTTTATGTGTGTGTTCAAGAAATAAAAACAGAAAAATCAGATTTGATTTTCTGAAAAATATCTCAAAAATAGGATTTTAATAAATCAAAAGTTATAATGCAAAAGCCGTATGAACCTAAATGTAAATCAAGGTTTATATAGAATTTCAAAGGCCTAGATATGCATAGGAAAAGGTAAATTTCGTGTATAGGACTTTTGGAAAGAATTCTATATCAAATAAGAACTTTAGACAGAACACGAAACAGAAATCCTAAACTGTATCAGACAACTTGATCCTGTAGCTAAGTTGGAACCGATTCCCAAGGACAGAATGTTTATTTTCGAAGAACAAGTTCTTGAACCAGTAGCCAAAGTTAGTACCGGTTCCCAATTGACAGATTCTGAGGGAAGGTTTAAAACTTGGAAAAATCCCTGTTTTGGTAACTTCGAAGAACATACCATGTATGTATAGTGTCCTAAGTGGGAAACAACTTCCTAAAGTGTTGTTCATACCTTTTTCGTAGATCTTAGTTTATCAAACTTGAACAACTCTTCAATTCAATAGCCGATCTCGATCGGACTTGTTTTGACACCGAAATTAACCAATTACAAAATTATATATGTCACAAATCTGAATCAACATACCTAACAACACTCCCACACCTGTCGCTACCTTTTTCATACACTAAGCCAACATCTACACTGTCTCGCAAGTACTGCATTACCCATTTCACAGCTTGCCAATGGACCTTCACAAGTCTATCCATAGATCTACTAACTACACTAGTCACATGTGAAATGTCTGGCTTAGTGCACACCAAAGTATACAATATGCTACCAACTGCACTAGCATTAGGAACATGAGACGTGCTCCATCTCCTCCTTGGTCTGTGGTGACTTTTGTGTTGAAATTCTGAAGTGGGCTGCCAATAGGAGTACTCACAGGCTTTAATGCTTGCATATTGAAGCGTTCCAGCACCTTCTCAATGTACTTCCTTTATAACAAATACAATCTGCCCGCTCCTCCTGCCCCTCTGAATTTCCATACCAAAAATCCTCTTCACGGCACCAAGATCCTTCATCTCAAACTCACCACTAAGCTGAGCCTTCAACATGTTGATTTCTGGCATGTTCTTGCAAGTTATCAACATGCCGTCAATATAGAAGCAAGTACATAAAAGACGCATCTGAGAGCTTCCTGTGATACACACAACTGTCAAACTTCACTCCTACCGTAGCCTCTCCCTACCATAAAGATATCGAATCACTTGTACCACTGTCTAGGAGATTGCTTCAGCCCATACAATGACTTCTTTAATAGCCAAACCTGGTCTTCCTTTCCCATAGTCTCAAACCCCTTGGGCTGATGCATATAAATCTGCTCACCCAACTCACCATAAAAGAATGCAATCTTTACATCAAGCTACTCAAGCTCAAAGACATACAGAGCAACCATAGCAAGTAATATCCTAATCAAGCTATGTTTCACCACAGGAGAAAAAACTTCATTCAAGTCCACCCCTTCCTTCTGTGTATAACCCTTCACCACCAAGCTTGCCTTGAACCTCTTATCTTCCAATTCTGGGTTTCGTAACGTCTTCTTGAAGACCCATTTATAACCCACAATCTTCTGGCCCTTAGGCTTCTTAACTAGCTCTCAAGTCTGGTTCTTATGAAGAGACTCAATGTCCTCACTTATGGCAATAGACCACTGTTTTGACTCTCCACCCGTGATGGACTCATGATACGTACACAGTACTTGCTCATCAATCCTCTCTACCACACTAAGTGCATAAGTATAAGGGCAGTGGAAACAAACAAACATCAAGATCCAATGAAAGACAATAAAGCAATCATACACAAACACAATATATAACGTGGTTTAGCCAAAACCAACCTATATCCACGAATGAGAAGAGATTCCACTATGATTTCTATCGAGATATTACAAAGATAGATTACCAACACCGTGTACATGTCTTTTCACCATGTACCACTCCATAAGCCTAACTCCTTGCCACTAGTGCCACCAATGTTTTTCCTACTCTACCAGCCCATAACCTTCATATTTATTTATAGAGTCCTAGACTCAATTCCTTGGAGCTTTGAGTAACAAGAAATTTCGTAACATATACAACCTCTAAAATAGAAATATACAATCTCTAAAATAGAAACCTAATTAAACTAGGAATTTGAGACACAATTCCCAACAATAAGCAACAGAATCAGCATGTGAAAACCGATACTTTTGAGGTGGCTTAACCTCCCACCTCGGCCTGTCTCTAGCCACACTGTACTGTTGTAACTGTGCATCTTCCTTCTTAGCCTAAATTGGACCTGCTCATCATTTGAACGATGAAGAACATCCTCTAATTGAACCTCTACATGCTCCACCTGCTCACCGACACTTGAGCTCTCGCTGAATCAACTATCTCCTTCTGCGGAATAAGCATCATAAACTCATGAAAGATCACATCCCTACTAACAAGTATCGTCTTTCCCAAAGCATCTGGGCACAACAATCTGTATCCCTTGACCACAGGCTCATAATTAAGAAAAATCACTTTTTTTAGCCCTCGTTTGAAGCTTCTCCTAATTAACATGAGCATACACAGGATACCTAAATATTCTCAGATTATTGTAACTAGCAGGAAAAGCAGACCATACCTCCTTCGGAGTTTTACAGTCCATAGCAAATCATAGAGACCAGTTCACTAAGAAACTATAGACAATAACACTTCGCCTAACCTAGCATTGGACAACATACACTGTGCCCTCTCCAACAATATTCTGTTCATCCGTTTTGCATTTCCATTCTGCTGCGGAGTCTTCTTCACCGTGCGGTGTCTCATAATCCCGCGAGCCTTACAAAACTCATTAAATTATCCGTCATAGAATTCCAACTAAGCCATTGTCTGTCCTCAAGTGCTTGACCTACTTTCCAGTTTGCTTCTCAATCAAGGTCTTCCACTGCTTGAACTGACAAAAGACTCATTCTTGTGCTTCAAAATATAAACCCATACTTTCCAAGAGAAATCCTCAACCAAAATCATCATATATCTACCACCACCATGGGAAGCAACCTGAGAGGGACCCCAAGGATCAAAATGGATATAATCCACCATACCCTTACTGAACTTTACTCTGCATTGTTTCTCGAAGACACAATGCTCACAGAAATCCATTTTCCTGGTTTTCAGAACACCAAGCAGACACTTCTCTCAGAACATTCACCCCCCTCTCACTCATATGCTCGAGCCACATATGTCACAATCTGCTAGTATCTGAGTCCAGATCCGAGGACGATACAACAACCGAACCTATGGGAGAATTTGCGATAACAGGATTTGGGGAGTTTGAGACACTTCTTGGGCATCAATGCAGCTAGTTCTTGCGGAGGCATCTTGGTTTGTGGAGGAAATATGTATTGGATTTATTGAAGGAGATATGGATGTTGGCTGCTGGCCCTTTTATTCACCAATTGAACACATTAATTACATGATAGCTGAGAATGTTGTGAGTATTTCAGCTTCTATTGATTGTAAAGATAATGTTGTAAGCAAATTTTTTGCATGGACCTTGTGAATTACACATGAAACTGTCAATTAAATTCTACAAACCTGCAGTCTGCCCCTGATAAAGATGTTTCATTTTCAAACATGATCTACATGAGAATAGAAGCTTATAGCATTGTGATAACTAGGCAGCTATTGATATTGCACACATCCAGTCAATGTGACAGAAGAAACACATTGAGGTACATTGAGGTAAACATAAATTTTATTAAGAATCTGTCCAGTTAAGAGGATTATATTCTTTATTTGAAGTCTAGGGATCAGCTGTCGATGAATTAAGTGAAGTAGTGAGCAAATTTCCATGCAATCTTTTTCTTTTTAAGCACATCTGATATCTTTGCACCGGCTTGAGGGCTGGGCAGTGATGAGGGTTTATTACGTCATGTATTGACATGGCAAGTTTGCAAGTTTCTTCTAAAACTGACTCCAGTACATATAGTAATGATTTGGTGATCATCGTAATGCTCCGCCATTGCTCCTAGTATGGGTTTTCTACTTCTCTCTTCTTTCTTTCTTCCTAGTATTTTCTTCTCTTTTTTGTTTGAATCAAATTTGTTATGTCTTTCTCTCAATTAAGGTCATATGGAGAGTTATTATCTTCTCTAAACCTTTCTATCTATCCTTGTGGTAGAGGCGGAATCACGGAGGACAACATTGGATAGATATACTCTCCTATATAACTACCTCTCTTGTTGGGGTGTAGACATTAATCATGCATTGTCTCAAATCTTGAAAGTAGGGAATCTTTCATAATGTTTCATTTATAATATTTCCTAGTTATTTCTAGATTTTATCACCAAACTTACTCTTGACATTTTCATCTAGTTGCATATGGATATGAATAATGTATATGCTTGAAATTTTACATGGAAGTGAACCTTCCCAATCATCTGGTTTAAATATCATCTAACTAGGTTTTGGGAACTATCCCTTGATGTTACTAATGGCCTACTATTCGTACTGAATTAACACGGTATAAAGTCATGTTGCATGGATTCATTGTAAAGTGAACGTTATTTGGTTTGCTATGTGCTGATATTAGAGAGTTGTGAAAACTCATTTATTTGTTTATTTATTTTTGTTTAACTGATGATATCTTTCTTACACATGAAGTGACTGTTATTTTATTTCATTTAACTTGGAGGTATAGCTTGTTAGCCATAGTTACAATATTGTTACAACTCTACTCACTTCCTCCGCCCTCTCATAAAGAAATTAATAATTTAATAAATTATGTTTTAATGATGACTTGTTATGCAGGGCATCTGTTTGATGGTTACAGTCATGCAGGTGGCTCGATTACCTAATATAAAGGTGCTTAAATCATTAATCTTAGTCTTGTAGTGCTCGTGTTTCACATCTGTCAGCTGACACTGTTACATTACTTAGGTTGCTACGATACTTCTTTGTTGTGCTTTTCTTTACGACATCTTCTGGGTCTTCCTTTCACCATTGATATTCAAGGACAGTGTAATGATTGCGGTAAGTGTCAATGTCATCACTACATCTCCTTTGCTTACTTTGCGAAGGTGTAAGTTGTTTTCTGTTTTCTTTATTATGATTATAAGGGTATTCTTATTATAAAGTTTTTACTACTTTTGTATCCTTGCAGAGGAATTATGATGAAGTGTTCATCTTGTCTAGCAGTGTATCTCTACTATACATATTTCTGAAAACAAATTCTCCTATTGGTTCAAACTCCCTATGACATCTTAAAATATGACACAACATGTGGTAGTACTGGCCTAAAGTTATTAAAATTATCTGTAAAAGAACTAATATCAGGACAGGAATTTATGTCTGTTCTTGCACCTTATCATAGTGCTGTAGAGCTATTTTAATCTGAGATTGATTGTGCAAAATTCTCTGAGAAGAAACTCTTGATAATAACTCTTGAGAAGAAACTCAGGACAGGGTGTTGGGGGTTGGACCTGTTAGCAGCATTCCAACTCAACTTCATGATAGTCAATTCATTTACCATATTAACACAAACAAATATGCTTTATCATTAGAAAAGATGGATGAGTCAAGCTTGCATACAGTTACAGTTTATTTTACTCCACTATCACTCCTGATTGACTCTGCTTCTATAATGAATTATGTCTTCTTTGAAGCATCTTAGTCAAAAAAATAAATAAAATTATTGTTGAAACTGATTAAAGAAAATAATAATATTTCATGGGAGTTGTAGTTTTAATTTTGGAAATAGGATGGTTCTCAAATTTCTATTAAAACTTATACAGAATCCAGTAATAAAAAAAAGGTCATGCATTATAATATGTGATACAATTACAAACTCCTGGAGGAAAAGCAACGTTTGAGACCACACTGCTAGCTACAAATAAATGAATTGTTTTCAGTAGCTCCAAAGTCCAGACTATTGTAAGATTGCAAATCTTCTCATCAACTTCCACCCAGGCTTCCTGATGCAAGAGAAATAAATAGAGGAATTAAATCTTCAGAACTTAGATGTCCTTACTTACTAGTATGGTTGACTGAGAAGTCTACAACTGATATGCTTTTCAGTAGTATGGTTTGCAGATTTAGCAGCCCAAATGTGGATGCTTTGGCTCCTATTTCACCACTAGTCTCAACAAAAAAGTCATGCATGACATTTCAATGATTTGCTGCTGAAAGTTGTAATAAACCAGAATATTAATTACTCCAAGGAAGGCACAGATCTCCAGTTTCAATGAGAAAACTCTGCAAACCATTCCCATACCTGTTGAGCATGAGTACAACTGAAGATACGATGCTCCAAGGAATCACTGTTCTTCGTGCAATTATAGCAGACAGGGACAACATGTCCTTCAAGTTGCAGATAATTTTTATTCTGAAGCACCAAACTAGTAGTGGCAGAGGCAGCAGGCCTTCCTCCATTCCAGCAGAACTTAGCCCAAAAGGATTTAAAACTGGCTATACCATGTTTCCACAGGATTATATCAGCCACTTGGTGAATAGGAGTATTGGAAATCAAATGCCACACATGTTCTGCTGAAGTAGGCACAAAAAACAGGCATTGCGCAAGCACCATTGAAGATTTTATTGCACATAGAAGCATCTTTGAGATTATCAAATTGCCTCACAATCCTATGACCAAAAAGTTTGAATCAAGGATGTCCCATTACACCAAGGATCCATGAAAAGTTTTACTGGCTGCTCCTCCAATTTTAAAAACAACATTTTCAATCAACACCTCTCTAACTTGTAACAAAATTTTTCAAAACGTGTAAAGGTGTTGTTTAGGCACACAGGCCCAAATAGAAGGATAGTGGTTTTTTAAAGCATTAGACCAAGCAATCCACAATCTTTATTTGCCTTGGATAAAGTCCCATAACAGAGCACATTTTGCAGCTTTGTCTATAGCAGAAATTATACGGCTCAAGTGGCAGCGGCCTTTTCCTTCACGCTTGGTAAGCGCTTCGCGGTAGCCCAAACAATTCCTTATGAAAATACTTTTGGAGCAGGGATTGCAAACTGTCCCCTAATAAGCTATGCTTATTCCCTACATGCCGAATGTTGACGCCACCCGGTCAATTTGACCGAAATCTAGGGCACTCACTCAACAAATTCCCTCCAGTTTTTTTTTGTTCCCGGGGGAATGGCTTGATAACTTGGTCTGCCCTTGCTGAGCCCGAGCTTGCTGAACTGGTGCCACTTGGCACTGCTGGTTCTGGTTGTTCTGGCATTCAATGCACCTGCTACTGGCACAGAGGTTGAGGATTCTGGCAGAGGTGATAATAAGCTACTATCCAGTCTGGCATGAATTCTTCTTCCCTTTGCCTGCCTACACCAAGTCCATCTCCCATTATTGAAAGGAAGATTAGTCAAACCAATTGACAAAATAGTAGAGTTGAAATCATCAAGGATTCTTTTAGGCCAAACCACCCTTTTTCAGCTTGGTACCTGACCACATTCCAGTCACCAATCACCAACCAAGGTTTATCAACCAAAAAATGACTCTGAGTTAACGCTCTTCATAAATTCTTTCTTTGAGCAACAGAATTAGCTATGTAGATAGGAAACATATAAATTATTTCTTTGAGAAAGTGAGCAACAGAGTTAGCTTACTCTATGTTCCTCAATACTTAAGTTAGTGGACTGTGATAGTGGAGTAATTTTGATGTTCTAAATACAGTGGATATGAATTTAGTATGAAAAAGAAACAAATAACAAAGACTAGGAGTAGAAAGATCTTCTTAGCCTCCATATGCATTTATATGTATTTACCAAAATTATGGATATTTAGGCATCCTAGACACTAGACTGTTTCTTTTGTAGTATGTATATGTTGGAGATAATGTTGACATTTCAAACGATTTTAGGTATTTACTGCTTGTAACAGTTTGAGAGACTGCTTGATATATGAATTGACTTTGTGCACTGTTCTCAGCCATGGGTGTTGCTATCCTTCGAATTCTTGCCTTCTATGATTTTATTAACACCAATAAATCTGAAATATCAACTTAGTAAAATAGTTTTCTGTAATTAACTTAACAGCCAACTAACTTTCCTTCTTTTGTTTATAGGTGGCTCGAGGGGACAATAGTGGCGGAGAATCCATTCCAATGCTTTTGAGAATTCCTCGATTTTTTGATCCTTGGGGTGGTGATAATATGATTGGCTTTGGAGACATTCTCTTTCCTGGTTTACTTATTGCATTCACTTTAAGGTATTCATTTAATGCTTTAATCTTATAATATTTATACTTAGAGAGTTGAAGGATTTATATACTAAAGTTACACCCTCTTTAATAGCTTAAGCTTTTAGAGTAGATGGTGGTGAACATGGTATCAGAGCAGACAAGGTCCTGAGTTCAAACATCACCGTCACCCTTATAATTAAAATTGAAACACGTGTTGGACCAAAAGAAGGCCAATGTCACTTAATGAAGTATGATACATAGAACACGACTTAGCTTACATTTAGCGTTAGATTTATTAATGAAGTATGCGATCTTACTTCGCATAATCAATACTGTATTATATTATATTCAAATGTCACTTATGAATAAACAAATTAGATATAAAAAAAAAATTATAAAAGGTAAAACTTTAATACACAAGTTGAAAGGATAAATGCACATTGCATTTAAGATTTGATTATAAGGCACTACTGTTTGATCAAATGGGTACGAGTTACCTGTGGGTGAAAGTCCCGCTACTCACGTGAGGAGCCCATGTCACTGGGGGTTTGGAGTTGGTTTCACCTTAATCCGAAGATGGAGTGGCCAACGGCGAAACACTCCAATTTGTTCCTCAAATGCTAGATAAAATGTCCCAATCGTAAAATGGTTTTGGTTCGGCCAAAATTCTCTTTGTGGGACTTTGTATTTGCAAACTCTTGTATTTGATAACTTCTTAGCATGAAAATATACGTACTTTCAAAGTGGATATGTGCTGTCACTCGAGAAGTTTACACCTAGTGACTTGTACCAAATTGGGTCTCACCTTCACACAGAGAGAGAGGGAAAGAGCAAGAAGAAGAACAAGAGGAGAAGGGAAGGGACCAGGCTGTGGGATCTCCATCATCTCCTCACCACAATATCATTTCATCATCATCAATTTGGGTAGGGTGAGGCTGTTACAAATTATGGGTATTTTGGTTGGTCAACTACGTTAAAAGTGTGATGAATGGCCAATGATCTAAAAGTGGAGTGTTTTTTTTAAAAAAAATTTGTGTGTGTGTATATATATATATATACTTTTAAATTCTCTTTTAGTACATTGTGATCCTTTGCTGAATGCAACTAATGTGATGCTTTTAAACCCTGCATTTTATGGTCGCTTACTTTTTTATTCTTTTATTTTTTTCCTTTTCATTCTTTTATATTAGTTTTTCATTCTTATTTTTGTCTGTTTTGATTGTTGCAGATACGACAAAGCTAATAAGAAGGGTGTACTAAATGGATACTTTCTTTGGTTGATAATTGGCTATGGATTAGGTGAGTATTCTTGCTTATTTTTTTCCCAAATTAATTGCTTGTGTAACCTTAATAATGATCTTGTTGACTACTGTAAGATTAAATTATGAGGAAGCTTGTAGGAACAATTTAGTAACATATCCAATGGTTGGCTAGATCAACATTTCAATTGAGTGAATTTTGGAAGCTGCATCAAGCTTGCTTCTTTCCCTGTCCACACAAATAGATGTGTTTTGTGTGAATTAGACTGTTCTTAATTATTGTCTATGAATATTATTAATGCTTTCAAACTGTAGAAGCCAATTTATGAGTAAGATGTAAAAACAAAGTGTTGAGACCCAGCTTGTCACACCCCCAAAACTTGAAAAAAAAACTCTATAATCTGAGTCAATCTAAAAATCCAAATATCTAAGCATATAGTGTGATTGAAAATATGTATGATAATGCCCAGCAAGAAATTAAACATTGCGTTTGGTGGTGCATCTGGAAGGAGAGGAATAGTATAATGTTCGAAGGAAAGGAGACGTCTACGGCGATGCTAAAACTTCATATTATTCGTTCTCTTTTCAGTTACGTGAAGAGGAGCTCTTGTTCCTCTTCCGATGATTTAGTTATTTTTTTGGATTCTTTGGGGACTTGGTCCCCGGTTCCACTTTTGTATAAGGGTCGTGTTCCCCTTTTGAACGCCTTTTTATTTTATTATTACTCATCAAAAAAAATGAAATTAAACATAATAACCAACCATTATATCAAAACAAATCCACAAACTCCAAGTATTTAAATAAAACTATAATATTCCCAAACTTGTAGAAATCAGAGTACTTGAAAGTTTGCTTCAAGTCACTTCAAACTAGAATCAGTACTTTATTACTTGGAAAAACATAATACATATTTGAAATGCAAATCCTAAAGCCTTTAATGTCGTAACCCTTTCGCCAACTAATAGCCTTCCTTTCTTTGGTTTCCTTCAGCATCGTAATCTGAAAATGATATAAGAGGGAGCATGACAGCTCATTCAGTTTAATAAAACAAAAATCCATTTCAATCACAGTGCCAAATTTACTGAAGATCTGAGATGAGTAAATCAGATCACAAAATTCAAGCGAGACAGAAGATAGTCAAACGAGTCTATAGTAGGGTATGATAAAGCTGCCCTGATACCATGTTGATAAAAAAAAAAAAAAAAAAAAAAAAAAAAAATCAAAAGATTGGAAAGAGAAATTAAGAATGAAACAACACAAGAATATACGTGGTTCAACCACTACAACCTACATCCGCGGCACACAATGCCCAAAGCATTACATCACTTTTCTCTTAGTTTTGTTTACAATGACCGCCTCTATTTATAAGTGAAAGAACACAAGTGATAAATATGGAAATACATTAATGGAGGAATCTTAAAATCAATCCCATAATTATCACTCCTATCAATATTCTATCGAGGCTTAAATCACTCCTATCATGATATTCTCCCAGCAGGCCCCTTAGTAATTTGTGTAGAGAGTGTAAAAAAGAATTAGGAACTTCTTAAAGCATTTGTAGGACCTGCTTTGAAGCTGAAGTGCTATCTTCTGCCTTCTATAAGGGGAGGTGCATGTTTAAGTTCAAGTTGGGATTAAAGCCCTGTTCTGACTTTTCTAAATAAAAAAGATATTAAAGCTTTATTTCTGACTGCTAAATATTTGGTTTCATATTATCTGTGGTCTAGGCCTTCTGTTTCTTTGAACTAGAAGTGTCCGCACTCCGGGCTTGAGAATGTAACAGCTGAATGTCTCCCTACATAATTTGACCAACAAAGGTGCTTAGTAACTATAGTATAGGGTGCATATTTACTTTGAACATACTTAGTTTCATACGGTCTGAGGTCTAGTCCATTTGTTACTTTGAATTAGAAGGGTCCGCACTCCATGATCGAGAATGTAACAGCTGAATGACGCCCAGCATAATTTGACCAACAAATGTGCTTGTATATAATAGTAATTACATTATATGTTGAATATAATAGTAATATAGTGTTTCCTTATTAATTTTTCTGGTGGCTGCATTCCAAAATTTGCTCTCCCTTATTGACACTTCCTGAGTTTTCCTTTACCCTTTATCTGCAGGCCTCTTCTGTACTTATCTAGGCTTGTATCTAATGAATGGACATGGTCAACCTGCTCTCCTCTATCTCGTTCCATGTACATTAGGTATTTGTTGTGTGAGAACTACTTTGAGCAGACATCTCATTCCTTATTTGCAGATTAAAAGGAATTTGTTGGATTATTCTGATATTTTCCTTCATTCTCCATTTCATGAATCAGGGGTCACCATCGTATTGGGTCTGGTTAGGGGTGAGCTGAAACACCTCTGGAGCTATAGCGCAGAATCACCCACATTTGGAGAACCTTGATATGATTGAATGCCCCAAATTTGGATAGAAAATAATGCTGATCTAAAAATGCCATCAGTGGGAAAAGGCTGGCGTCATATTATTCTTTTTAAGGGCCTCAGTTCAATACAGTTGAAGGGGTGGAAAAAGTGCAGAGGAATGGGCAGTTTCACCCTGGTGATCACATCTCATGTATTTTCTTGATATTTAGTTACGCTTCGTTCTTGCTGCTGAATTAGTTTAATGTTGTAAATATGGACTTAGTTGTATTACGCGTGTTAATGTTGTAAATATCGAATTATTTGTATCACGTGAAATTTTGTTTATTGAATGATCTGTTTTTCAAGATAATAATGAGAAAGAAATTTCCATTATGTTTCAATCCTTTTTTTTTTCTTTTTTTTTTTTACTGTTTCCTTGTTCCCCCTTTTCTTGTGGGGAGGGTGGGGGTTGGAGGAGGGGTCGATTTAGAGTGAAATATTAATAAGATGACTTGGGTGTTTGTGGTAACTTGAGGGTCACTAATCACCATGCAGTATTTACAAGATGACTCCGGAGTGTGTGGTAACTTGAGGGTCATTATTCATGATGAAGTGCGTTGCTATTCTAATCTCATTGTTTATCAAAAAAATTGTACATATACAAACAGGACGAGTGTCAGTCGTGTTCTATCCCCTAATTAATTGTTAAATTAGGACCGACTCAATATAATTTAAGACCCTAGGTGAGATCTCTGGATGAGGACTTTAAAAATGACATGATTAAAAGACTTTGGACCCTTAGTATTATAAATATTTTTGTATTACTTTCTTATCTTCTCAATCATCATAATAATATCGTAAAAATTAATATAAAAAAAGTTGTCAATGTGTCATGCCCATGTATCTAGAATTACTCAATAAGATTACATGGACCAAGTATGAAAGGTCATCAGATATTCAATACTACATCTTCCATAGAACAATCTTATGAGAAGAACTTTCAAATAAGAGCAAAATTTGAGAGAGAGAGAGAGAGTATGTATGTTTCCGGCAAAGCTTGCCCGGTAACTTTGATTCTCTCTTGTTTACTAATCAATCTTTTGCCTGGTGGAATGCTGTTTTCTATGTTATAGCTGTTCTGTGAAGTTTGTTTCTAGATTTCAATATCTCTGTTAATCCAGTGATTGCCAGAATATATATTGAGGTTGAGGAGTTTAAATTGGTTGTTGGGGAAAAGATCCCTATTACCGCTGATCTTCAATGAAAACCATTACAATGTCCTCACCGCAAAGGTTTTGGCCATGATTCTAAATTTGCAAGGTGGTTGAAAACTGTAATGGGGAATCAGAGATTATGAAAGATGTCCCTGTCCAATACTCAGAAGATGGTTGATAAATTCAATACTCCGAAGAAGATTATTCCAAATGGGTTCCGGTTTCTAGACCATCTGATGGTATTGTGGAATTTTTTCATGGTGAATTTTTTAAGAAAACCAGTCTGCAGATATGTAATGAGGTCATTGCTGCCCCTAATCTGCAGGTTGAGCAACATAGTCCGAAGCAGATTCAGGACAATTCAGATGATCAGATTGAGCAAATGGATAAGCAACCTTTGGAGGCATCTGCAGGTCATCAAACTGAGGTGTCTCTTTCTCCTAACAAATTTCAAACTTAAGCTAATTTAGATGAAGATAATATGTTTGTTTTACTGCATGAAATTCCTCATATAAATTCTGATCAGTCAATGCATAATAAGAAATTTAATAGTATGTCTCCATTTAAGAAAAAACTCTTAATTTTATTTCAAACTAGGAGAGGAACTGGTGTAGGCTCTTCTAAAGTAGCTTGATATGTTTCCCTTGTTATCTCTTTTATGATCATTGGTTGTTAAAATGTTAGGGGGTTATTAAATTCCTTCAATTTGATCATTCAATGTAGAAGATTTCCATCAAGGAAAAATAGAATCATTTTTGAAGACTATTATTGCTTGCTAGAAGCTGAATCAAGCCATAAATAATTGTAATTGCAGAGTTAATTTCAGGAGTTCATTATTTTTCTTGCTATACAAGGGAGTGACATAAACATGCATCTTTCACCGTAGCTATCATGTAGTTCTTGTTTCCAAGAAGAAAAACTTTTTTTTTTTTTTTCGTGTGGTGGAACGCACAACCGATGTGAGAAGTCGTTATATTACATAGTTGATATGTGGAGCATAGTTCTTATATAAATTGAAAGATTAATTTTCTAAAAATTAAAGAAAAAGACCAATTATTTCAGAAAAAAATAATAATTCAAAATTAAATAACAAGAAAACCACTACTTTTATATAGGATATATACGATGATATACAAGAATGCACTGCAATACTGTGAACAATGCACAGTGAATCAATCAACTTTAATCAATTATTGTGTCGATAACAAAAACCATAACAGAAACAAAAAGTCTCCACATCACAAATTCAGAGCCCGTGAAACCACAGGAGCTTATAGTACCACGAAAAATGCCAAAGTACACTCACGGACTGCCCAATCTGTAGCTTCACACTCTGACATTGCTCACATAATCTCTTCCATTCATTTTCTATATAAACAAACACACCAACTAATTGGGAGAGCAAAATCTATACAAAATGGAGTCATATCAAAGGGTTGCAGTTGTGTCTCTATTGTTGGTTGCCATAGCCAGCAATGGGGTGATTCTGGAGCTGTGCAATGCCCAGTCCATTTGCAACATGTCCACTGAGGGCCTGATGTCTTGCAAGCCGTCGGTGACGCCTCCGAAGCCAACAGCGCCCACGGCCGCCTGCTGCACGGCGCTCTCGCATGCTGACCTCCCTTGCCTTTGCTCCTACAAGAAGTCCAACATGCTGCCTGCCCTCGGAATTGATCCAAACCTTGCCATGCAGCTCCCAGACAAGTGCAAGCTCCCTCATCCAGCCAAGTGCTAGACTGTGTCAATCAACAAAACTAGTATGCCTTGTCCGTGTAATTAATAATGCTGAAGTACTTCTCATGCTTCTTTCCAGCATTTGATGTTCTTTGCTCTGTATTTTGCATTATGTTGTTTGTGAGTTCTCATTTATATGTCAAGCATATATATATGGTGTTTGTGTTGACAGTGATATGAATTTCTCTATTTTTGGTTACCTGCCATGCCATATCAAATGTACAAGATAGTGCAAAAAGATTGAACAAGTTGAGGATAGTTGTATCACTTATATTTGGTTGGAAGGAAAGATTGAGGAATGGTGGAAGAGAGGAGGGATTAAAGAAGCTTCCCTTGTTTGGTTAGAAGGAAGAGGAGATAAATGAAGTAAGAATGGATGAAGCGTCTTCCTAACTAGGGATGTAACTTGGGTTGGGCAACCCGAGCCCAGCCCTATTTTTCGTGGACTTGAGCAATCATTTTTATAATTAGGGTTAGGCTTGGGTTGAAAAACTCAAATTCGAATTTAATTAGGGTTGGACTTGAGTTGAAGTGTTAGCAACTCGAGCCAACCCGAATCCGAATTCTAATATTATTTTCATATATATTTTAACTTTTAAATACATTATATATAATATTTAAACAAAGATTACCTTTTTTTGTCTTTCTAACTACCTTTGTTAAATCTTAAGTTATTGTATGTTTACATTTAGAATAATTAATTTTCTAAGAATTTATTTATAATTTATTAAAAATCTACAAAAAGTCTTTATCTTTTTCGTGTTTAAGAGTAATTTAATCTAAAACTAATTCAAGATCATATTAAATTTTTTGTGTGAAGATTAGCCATATTAGTAATCCAAATTAACCTGAAGTTTTAACTCGGAATTTAAGCCCGAGTTGTAAGCCCAAATTTAAAAGTAGAATGATGGGTTGGGCTCGGGTTGAATAGTTAGGCTCAAGGATAGAGTTAGAATTGGACTTGAGTTTAGCATTTCATATGATGGGATTGGGTTCAAGTTATACCTCAAACTCGCTCAATAAAGTAGTATGTAGTAACACAGAGGACGGTAGATGGTTTCACTTTCAATACATTGCATTGCCAATATGAACTTGCTGGAAATTTTTATCAACCTTTCCGGTTAACTGCTAGTTCAAAGCATCAATAGTAGCCCTCCTCCTCACCCAACTCATCCGACTTCATAATAGGACCAGGACAAAGATAATCAATCCGTTTAATTATCAAATTCATGGTTGATTAATTTGTTGCGTTCGTTAATACCCATCTGCAGGCAGTGTTGATTTGCTGTAAGCAAACATTTTTCCTGCAAAAATGTTTTCCATGGATTTGTTTTCCCTATAGAAATGATTCTCCACATAAACACATTAAATTTCAAAATCAATGTTATATTATCAAGTAAAGCACACTATAAGCATTTTAGTCCACAATGATCACCAAATACTAAATTAAAATATAAGTATAATTGTTTTATTCACTGAGGAAATGAGGATGAAACATAGACAAATAGTCCTAATCTGATTTTGAACTAAATGATTGTAGCTCTTCTCTCTTGGAGAGAATGGTAGCTATAAAATCATCCATTGCTTGAAGAGAAGACCCCTTATGACCTCCCTCCTCTCTCATTGCTAATCTTATCAACTCTTTAACCTCAACTGCCTTTCTCTTCATTTCCTTTCCTTTCCCCTTCTTGTCCATCACTGTTTCTATCACTTTCTTCACCTCCTCCTTCACAATACTACTGTGCACTCCTCTAGTCAGCTCCACACACACTCCCACATCCTCCATCAGCATCTTAGAATTATAGGCCTGCTCGGCCGCCAACGGCCACCCTATCATCGGCACGCCTTGGCTCAAGCTCTCCAGCACCGAATTCCACCCACAGTGGCTGAGAAACACCCCGGTCGATTCGTGGGCCAAAATCTCCAACTGAGGCGCCCATTTGTGCACCAACAACCCCCGTCTGCTCTCCGCGGCCCGTGCTTCGAACCCTTCCGGCAGCCACTCAGCTCTGAATTCCCCTTTCAAGTTGAATCCAACAGGAGACCTAATGACCCATATGAATGCCGTGCCACTATCTTCCAAACCCTTAGCCAATTCCATCATCTGGGTAGCAGAAATGGTGTTCTGGGACCCGAATGAAATGTAAAGAACAGAGTGTTCTTCGTGAGAATCGAGCCACTCGAGACATTTCTCCGGAGACAGTCCAGGCTCTCTGCCTGTACGTTGATGAGAGACGTTCGAATTCGACAACGAAGGGTTGAGCATGGATTGAGGCAGAAGAGGACCAATTGTCCAAACAGGAAGTTTTACATACTTCCTAAGAATTTCCAAACCCGAAGGCTCGATTTCCTCAACCGCATTGCACAACCACCCACACGAGCCTAAAGAAAGCTCAATCTGTGGCTGAAAAAACCGAGACCATGGATCAGTACCATCAGCAGCTCTCAGGAACTGGTGAAGCTGGGACACATGGAACCGGCACGAATCCGGAAAACCTGGCAACCGAAACTCGTCGGCGTCAGACAACCGGTGCGGGAGGTTCTGCCACAGGGAAACATAGGCCGCAGTGCCATACGCACCACCAGTGCTGAAACTAACATTGACAATCCCGAGACTGTTCGCTACCGTATTAGCCCACCCGAAAAACACATCCGACACTATACAGAGCGGAGGCCGGCCTTCCTTTTCGGCTATGTCCGAGACGAGTTCTCGGACAGGCGATTCGAGGGATGACGAAGATTGAAACAAATTCACGATCTGGTGCAGGGGCAAGGCCTCCGTGTTCTCGGTGTTGGGCGGCAAGCCGTGGTCGGAGCTGCTGAATGGGAGTGAGACGAGGCGGATTTGGGATTGGGAGAGTGAGGAGGCTGTTGATGGGTCTTTGGAGATGGTGGAATGGAGGTATTTGATGTTGAGAGGTGTGTTGGCTATGGTGATTGTGAAGCCTGTCCTTTGATGGATCTGCTTTGCCAGAGCCAAGAATGGGATGAGATGGCCTTGTGCCATGAAAGGTAACATCACTATGTGTTCTTGAGAGCCGCCCATTTTTTGGTTTGTTTGTTTGGGTCTGAGTGAATTGTGAGGCTGCTGTTTTTTTGGTGTGATATTTATAAGGGAAGGGTTGGGAGTTTGGGACAAAAGAGTGTGTGTGGACAATTAGCCCGATTTGTGAGGTCTGCGAACCGCGTGAGTGTTACCTACCAATATGTTGATTTTATGATAAAATCTATGAGTCTGATCTTCTATAATTTTCTCTTATTTATTTCCTGCATCACTATTTAGGCGGTTACGGTTACTAGTCGTTATCAGAGCCACAAAGTACTATATAAATAAATTGATTTGTTTTGTTTTGCATTTTAAGCTCCAATTCGATCATAGAAATTAATAAAGGGTCCCCAATTCTTGATAGACAAGTTGAGAAAGGGGTAGCTGAATTAATAATGTGAATGTTCTGGTATGTTCACCAACATACCAGTCGTCTAGCGATATCAACTTCTTATTTTTTAAAGGGAGGTCAATAATTCAAGTCTCAGAAAAGACAAGTGTATCTAAGTACTAACTAGGAAAAATAATATTCTGTTATGTTCTTCTATGAACACCTTAGAATAATTAATTAATTAATCTAGTTAATAAATCAATTAAGACATACGTCATTTTTTTAAAAACTAATTTATCAAGTATTCTATTGGTCGACAAATTGGTTGTTCGGAGAATTCCAAGATGAAGAAGTTGCACATGATGGAATTAATGTGGATCAATGGGATGATGTGGATCAATGGAATCATATAGTGATAGATGAATCGAGTTGGAGAACAACTAAAGAGATCGTTTGGAGCGTAGTGTCACGCCCCGCCTATGGAGGTTGTGCCACGCAGGCGACACGCAGACGCTGAGGAAGACGCTGCATGGCAACTGCATGGCAAGTAGAGTTTCTAGAGTCTTCCGGAGTAGTCTAGAATTGTGTGGAAGATTCTAGATATGTGTAGAAATATGTAGAAGTGTGTGGAAGGTTCTAGACTTCTCCAGAGTTGTGTGTAGTAGTATGGAGAGTTCTAGAATGTTGTACATATTTATGGATAAGTATGGAAGTGTGAAGAAGGTGGGAGAAGATTCTAGAGAATCGATCTCCACCATCGGTTAAAATGCATCCTAGCCGTCCATTGGGGATGGGGATGCCTATAAATAGAGGTAGGACTTCATTTTGTAGACAACAAGTCCTAGAGTGAGTCTTGAGAGCCTTGTAGAGAGCTTCAGTGTTAGCCTTGTACAAAGCATTCTTTGAAGTAATAGAAGTGTTCTTTCCTTGCCAACTTAAGTGTCTTAGTGTGTGTGAGTGTGCAAGCCAAGTGAGGAGAGGGCGAGTGCAACTACGACACTAGTAAGCGCACGAGGGGAGTGTGTTGGCTAAGGTGTGCACGGGAATTAGGCTGACCAAGTACTTGCGAGAGTGGAAGCAACATCTTGGTGCCGCACGGGAGCAGCTAGAGTGGTGCTGAAACTCTAAGCCCGTGACAGTAGGGTCAATTGGGTTGAAACTGATAGTGGAGAAAATTAATTGTACGTGAAACATCATTAAGGATTTGTTGTCTCGTTGAATATGAGAAAATCTACACAAAGGACTATATAAATAAATTGATTTATTTTTGCCCTTTAAGATCCAATTGCTTCATAGAAATTTATAAACGGTCCCCCAATTCTTGTTAGACAAATGGAAAAAGAGATGGTTGAATTAAAACAATTTTGTTTTAAAGTTCTAATTTTGTTAGAGGATAATTTGAATGTTCTATTATGTTCTATGAATACCTTAAAATAGATTAACTAATCTCACTAATAAATTAAAATATTATTACACATATACAATTATGCATTGTTGTTTATGTATACTTGACTTGCGTGTCTGTTTTTGTGCAGGGCATTAAGTACATGCATCTTTCCTTTGCTAAGAAATTGTTAGTGTTAGTGAGACCTTGAGTCAACTTATTGGTATTATGGTACATCTCAGCATAAAAAATATTTATAAAAAAAAAATCTTTTAAAAAAATTCAATTTATATACTCCAACCATTATTGAACATATTGTCTGGAGTCTCAATTAAGACCTACGTCCTTGAATATCCAATTTTTGATGTACCCTCGTATATATGGTATGCCAGTCTCTTACTCTTTTACTTTATGATTATCATGACAAAATCAATACACACACGTGTTCAAATATTCAAAATAATTAACCAGATATAACCAATTGCTATTGGCTAAACCAATTACTTATGATTTGCGAGTTAGACCATTTTCTATTGTACTAAGGCTTTTTCAGGTAAAAACTGATTAGCTTGACATTTTAATGGTCTAAGTGAACTTCAAAATTATCAACAATCTGTTCTACATCACATTGATAAATCAAAATGACAACACTAAAACTTGATAACGTACATAAACCTCTTAGGATTTGGAGGCTAATGCTTTAGTAGTTTTTATTATGTTATCGATCTTGTGATGATCTAGTAAAGACTATTTAGCATGGTAACACACTGATTTATAATCATGGTTGAGAACAAAACATCTCATGTTAAAAAAGTCGAGCATATTACAATCTTACAAATAAAAGTGTACATATTTTATCATCAATGATGAACAATGGCAAGTCGTAAAAAAATAGATGGATTCAATTAAGTCACCTAAAATGCAATTTAAAAACCGTGATGTGCGCGTCTCATGCAAATAAAAAAAATAAAAAACAACTTAATGCATGAATATTTAATTTAATAATAAATTACATTTATTAATAACCTATCGATTTTATTAATAGATAATTGATTTTTAGGCATGCAATCCCAATATGAACACTAAGTTGCTGAAATTTTACACCAATAGATGAAAGCTTTTACTTGTTAGTTAGTTTAGTTCCCTGTTTATGTTTGTGTTGGTTTTAAACTTCAAGTCATGCAAATCGGACTCTTTCCTAATCCTCATTAAGAAAGCATGGTTCTAAATAAATGCTAGTTTGTTAAACCTAACATCTGCCACCTTAGATTTTATAGGCTCTTTTTCTTTCACAAGATGTGTATATATACTAATGAAAAATATGATATTGTATCGATAATTGAATATGTAATTCTGTTATCTGCATTACATGTATTTATAATGAAAAATAACCTTAAAGCTAAAGAAAACTAATTACAACAGGAAATCTTATAACACAACAAAATCTATTCTTTGAAAAAAAAACACTAGCACTCAAAAAAAAATCTTAAAAAAAAAAAATTATTTAAAAATTCTAAAAAAATAGAGTGAGATATTTAAGTAATAAAAACTACTAAATAAAAAAAAATGAAAGCAATCCCAATTCGTTTAGATAACGAATAAAAATCCTGAAATATTCAACATGCCTCTTATAGTCTTTATACGACAAAAAATTCTATTTTGAAGCCTTAAATGATGTTATTTGACTGAAAAATGAATATATCACAATATAATAGTGAGTCTTACTCGTTTGGCCGATTCTAGTAAAAAAAAACTCTCATTCTATATAAAATAAATAAATATATATAAATTGAATCAAAAAATATGTTATCATTCCCGTTAAGCCCCCCGTGGATCCAAAGGAGCCTTACAAGTTTCGGCAATCCATTAAGAATCTAAGATACATCTCATCCAACGCACTTAGGCGGCACTTGCATTTGTATAAAACTACCTCACACTTTGTATTATTTTGTAACAGTGACCAACTAACAACCCTTCTCGAATTCTAGTCTTGGACGAACCAAACTCTTCAGTCTTCACATGTCCCATCAGTTGTTTTGGTAAAATTATAAAATCACAATTCATTGATATGACATAATTACAAACACTCACTCTCAGATATATAAGACAAATCTTCGTCGTCTTTAACGAACAAATACATCGGAGAACATCTACTTTTGCTCACGTTTGCCAATTTAAATTTTGTTAAAAAAAAAACCAAAAAAAAAAACACACATATGATCCATATCTCAGGTTAAAAAAAAAAAAACAAAAGAAGAAGAATGGGTTAGTGCTGGAGGGTACACCTAAACAGATGGTTGACTCATAAAATTGTATGTTCCATTGATAAAATTGAATCGAAGTATTCCCGTGTGTCCTGAGAATCTAATTTATATGATTATTTTTAATGTTTTTTAAACCATATTAGTATTCCCTTTATGGGAATCTAACTTATATGATGATTTTTAATATTTTTTAATTATATTAGTAGTGAATAAATTATTATTATTTTTTAATAAATTCACTTGATAATTTATTTTTTATAAATTTAATATAAAAAAGTTAAATCCATAATGTTACAAAAATATATATATTTAAAATAATTAAAAATAAAAAAGTGAACACGTTTTGTGGGGAAAAAAAATATCTACTAAAGAGGTCACTATAATTTTTAAGTAAAAAAAAATAATAATAATAAAATCTAGGTAATACTGATCAAATAAATAAATTTTTTTTTTTTAACGAATACCAGTCTTATATTTTAAGTGCATTTTTACTTTTATATTTTGTGTGCGTTTTAATTTAAATTTATATTATTTATATCTTAATTCTATCCATTTCACGCTTAGTCCTTGAATTTGTTCTCAATCGTGCTCCACCGAATCAAATAACATGATTTTGATGTCGATGGATTTGACCAGGCACAGATCACATGAAGGTCATCGTATCCCTAGATAGGTGTCACTCTCCATGGTTGGTAGGCATGACAGTTGTCCATTTTGTCCACTCACTAACGCTTCCCTATGTCACAATAAACGAGCCGTCTCTGAATTCTCCTCACTCAGACCCAACCAAAACAAAGATGGGAACCTCTCAGGAACACATAGTGATGTTACCTTTCATGGCACAAGGCCATCTCATCCCTTTCTTGGCTCTAGCAAAACATATCCATCAAAGAACAGGCTTCACAATCACCATAGCCAACACACCTCTCAACATCAACTACCTCCACTCCACCATCTCCAAAGACCCATCAACACCCTCACTCTCACAATCCAAATTCCGTCTGGTCTCACTTCCCTTCAACAGCTCCGACCACGGCTTGCCACCGGACACCGAGAACACGGATGCCTTGTCCTTGCATCAAATAATCACTTTTTGTCAAGCCTCGTTGGCCCTCGAAGCGCCTGTCCGACAACTCGTCTCCGACATAGCTGAAAAAGAAGGCAGGCCTCCACTTTGCATTGTGTCTGATGTTGTGTTTGGATGGGCTAATGAGGTTGCGAACAGCGTCGGGACTGTCAATGTTTGTTTTAGCACCGGTGGCGCATACGGCACTGCGGCCTATGTTTCTCTGTGGCAGAACCTCCCGCATCGGTTAACCGAAGCTGCTGAGTTTCATTTACCGGGTTTTACTGAATCTTGTCGTTTTCATCGATCCCAACTTCATCCGTTCCTGAGAGCTGCTGATGGTACTGATGCATGGTCTCGGTTTTTTCAGCCACAACTCGGGCTTTCTTTACGCTCTTTTGGGTGGTTGTGTAATACAGTTGAGGAAATTGAGCCTTTGGGTTTAGACATTCTTAGGAAGTATTTAAAACTTCCTGTTTGGACAATTGGTCCTCTTCTTCCTCAGTCCAAGCTCAACTCAAATGTCTCTCACCAACGCACAGGTAGAGAACTCGGAATATCTCCTGAGGAATGTCTCGAGTGGCTTAACTTTCATGAAGAACACTCTGTTCTTTACATTTCTTTTGGGTCCCAGAACACAATTTATGCAACCCAAATGATGGAGTTAGCTAAGGGCTTGGAAGATAGTGGCACAGCATTCATATGGGTGGTTAGGCCTCCTATTGGTTTTGACTTGAAAGGTGAATTCAGAGCTGAATGGTTGCCGGAAGGGTTCGAAGAACGAGTGTCCCGGAGCAGACAGGGTTTGGTGGTGCACAAATGGGCCCCTCAGTTGGAGATTTTGTCACACAAATCGACTGGGGTTTTTCTCAGCCACTGCGGATGGAACTCGGTGTTGGAGAGCTTGAGCCAAGGCGTGCCGATGATAGGATGGCCATTGGGGGCCGAGCAGGCCTACAATTCTAAGATGCTGGTGGAGGGTATGGGCGTGTGTGTGGAGCTGAGTAGAGGAGTGCAGAGTAGTATAATGAAGGAGGAGGTGAAGAAAGTGATAGAAACAGTGATGGACAAGAAGGGGAGAGGAGAGGAAATGAAGAAAAAGGCAGTTGAAATTAAAGAGTTGATAAAAGCAGCAGTGAGAGAAGAGGAAGGTCATAAGGGGTCTTCTCTTCAAGCAATGGATGATTTTATAGCTACCCTTCTCTCTCAGAGAGAGGGACTCTCATTTGGTTGAAAACTAGATTAATTTTGTCCTTCACTTGGGACCATTTGTTTTTGTTTCATCCTGATCATCTTATGAGTGAATGTAATTTAGTAAAAAGGATTTTTTTTAAAAAACTTTTTATCAACTTTAGTACTGCACGTTATAATAGTTGTTTGTTAATATGGTATGCTGTGAGTTGCTTTATCTGAAATAGATGCTGAGGTTTGATTTAATATAAACTAGAGGGGTGTGTAGGTTCAATTTAATCATATTTTTATTCGTTTTTTTCTTATTTTATTTTTATATTTTTTTTGTGAAAACCCAATCATGAAAAACCATGGAGACTCTACAGTTTCAAGTGAAACAATCAATATCTCAAGCTCATAGCTACTCCATTCTACTAAAAATTAGTTGTTGAACACGCAGGCTTGTGATTCCTCATCCCCTTGCTGCAAACTTTAGGGTTTATTCCTCAATCATTGAAGAAGGATTGTTGGAAGAACACAAATATTCATTGAATACTTTGTCCCCTTCGTAGTGCGATTGAATACTCCTTCCCAATGAACATGAAGATAAAAGAAAAATAAATAAAATCCTACTTTTTGACCAAATAAGATAATCTTAAAAAACTCTGTACGTCGTTGATCATATTGACAATAATATCCTAATTAACTTATGTGTAATAGTATGAATGTCTTCTCAAATAAACAAAGACACAGAAAAATAAATGATGATTTTATGTGAAAAAACCCTCTTTATTTGTAAAAATAATAATCTTTAAGCTTTGTATTTTTTCATGGAGAAGGAAAGCTTTTATAAAGGTTATCTTTGAGGACGTATCAAACGAGTTTAGTGCAAAAAGGAAACAAAAACTAAAAATCCTGTACATATCAGAAAAAAAGTGTAACTTGTTGGACTTTTCCAGATTTCAAAACTTGAGAATTTTGATTAGTGTGACCGATTAGACATTTCCAAACTTAAGGAAAATCTTGGAAAACCATTTGATAAAGTGCAACTGGTCGGTAAAAGTAGGACGTGTTGGACTTTGCAAATTTTCAAATTTTATATTTAAAAAAATAAAAAATAATAAAAAAAAAAACCTAATTTTGCTAACCTGACCCAACTTAAATATATGTGCAACGGGTCCTCACTCAGCAACATATATATTTTAATTGATATTCTCATCGAGAATCAAAGTATGTCTAAACTGGTTTTCTCTTGTAGTTTCCCTTCGATCGGACACCAAGACTAAAAATAAAACAAAAATTACAGTTCAATAAATTTTGTTTTAGACACGAAATTCATCGACACATAATTAAATATCATACACAAATAAATTCCTAAATTGATGCATGAACATAATCATAATCTAAAGATCCACCAAACCTTAAATCACTACAAATGTGTCACCATCAAACAAAGGAGTAAGTTGAATAGATCCATCTTTCCTAAGAATGCCATTCATATCAAAATTTTGAAAACAAAAACAGATTTTTTTAAAGAATTATTTCACAACAACTCATTGTATAGAGGATGACTCTAATACCAATTGTGAATTGCATAATGCGGAATGGTTGTAGAATATAATATGGATAAGTAGCCTAGAGGGGCATAAATAGGTTCAACTTGCTCTTTATCCGATTTTTGTTTAAATTAAATAACCTCCTAAGGCATTATATTCATCATCACGGAATATATCAAAATATGAATACGATCACTTCTTCAATTCCACTTCCAATCTTGAGTCTTGACAAATCAAACAAAAAACTTACAACTCAATAGGATTCGTTTTGACAACGAAATTTACCAATTACAAATATAATTTATATGTCACACCTTTTTGCCTTTCAAGTCCTTTTACTTACACGCAGAGGCAGAGGCTCCTATGAGCTAACTTGGGCTATAGCCCAGGTCAAAAATAATAATAATAACAATTAGTACTATTATTTTTACTAGCCATAGTCCAACCTAGCCCAGCCCAAGTTACCCAATATCCATAATCAAAACATAAATGATAAATGTCAAGCCCAAAAAATAAGTCTACAAACAAATTAGAACTGAAGATTAAAGAAGATTTAGGAACTGTTTGGCATGATGTGATATTATTTTTTGTATTTTCATCTTCTCTACTTAATTTTTTTTTTTTCCCCACTTCTCTGCTTGAATTTTTTTCTTTAGCCCCCCTATTTTCAAATTATGGCTCTGCCCCCGCTTACACTTATACCATCCCTTGATAAATTAATTTATGTCACCATCACCAATCAAACTTATAGTTGAGGATTAACTACAATAGCAATAATAATAATAATAATAATAAAAACCTTGTACTATCAATATTATTTATATGGTTCACCTAAACACTTTTATTGTATATAACTACTTGGTAAAATTTGAAATTAATGCAACTTCCTACCTTATGTTTCCAAACCACCACCACCACCTGTAGTTCGTACCACCGTAATACCACCCCACCCTCCTGATCACCTGCCACCATTGCTCAGTTACCATTCAGCTGTGATGGTCTGGACACTTGCATTCACCGGCTTCGATAGTCATTCACCTGCAGTATTTAAATATAATTGGATAACTCTCTAATAGATATTCAGTGCTCTGAGTGTACACTGGCTCATTCGAATTATACATGCACAACCTAGAATGAGTAAGTGCCAGCGCACCCAATACCTCCTCCCCTTGGAGGTATGTATGCCTATTGGCATTTAAACCATGATTTAATACAATTTACCTTTTCCCTTTTTTTTAGATGACACTCACATGTTATGTAGGCCATACAAGTTGAGCAATTGTTCCCGCACCCTTCTTTACTCCGAGGGCTTCCCTATTTCAAACCAAGCAGTCTCAGAATTCACTCAGACCAAACCAAAGAAACAAAGATGGACATCTCCCGGGAACACATAGTGATGCTACCTTTCATGGCACAAGGCCATCTCATTCCTTTCTTGGCTCTGGCAAAGCATATCCATCAAAGAACTGGCTTCACAATCACCATAGCCAACACACCTCTCAACATCAAATACCTCCACTCAACCATCTCCAAAGACCCATCAACAGCAACCTCACTCTCCCAATCCCAAATCCGCCTTGTCACACTCCTTCAACAGCGCCGACCATGGCTTGCCACCCAACACCGAAAACACCGAGGCATTGTCTTTGCATCAAATAATAGCATTGTATCATGCCTCAACAGCCCTCAAAGCACCTGTCCGAGGACTTGTCTCGGACATAGCTGAGAAAGAAGGCAGGCCTCCACTTTGCATTGTGTCTGATCCTTTCTTTGGATGGGCCAATGAGGTTGCCAAAAGTCTTGGAATTGTCAATGTTTGTTTTAGCACTGCTGGTGCATACGGCAGTGCAGCCTATATTTCTCTGTGGCAGAACCTCCCACATCGGTTAACTGAAACCGATGAGTTTCAGGTACCAGGTTTTCCTGATAGATGTAAATTTCATCTATCCCATCTCCATCCATTCCTGAGAGCCGCTGATGGTACCGATATTTGGTCTCGGTTTTTCCAACCACAGATTGGGCTTTCTTTAGGCTCTTGTGGGTGGTTGTGCAACACAGTAGAGGAAATTGAGCCTTTGGGTTTAGAAATTCTTAGGAAGTATTTTAAACTTACTGTTTGGACAATTGGTCCTCTTCTTCCTCAATCCGTACTCAACCCTTCATTGGCTTGTTCGACAAATTCACACGTCTCTCATCAGTGTTCTGGCAGAGAACCTGGAATATCTCCTGAGAAATGTCTCGAGTGGCTTGACTCTCATGAAGAACAATCTGTTCTTTACACTTCCTTTGGATCCCAGAACACGATTTATGCTACGCAGATGATGGAATTAGCCAAGGGTTTGGAAGATAGTGGCACAGCATTCATATGGGTCATTAGGCCTCCTGTTGGTTTCGACTTGAAAGGCGAATTCAGAGCCGAATGGTTACCACAAGGGTTCGAAGAACGAGTGACCAAGGCCGGACAGGGCTTGTTGGTGCACAACTGGGCGCCTCAGCTGGAGATTTTGTCACACAAATCGACCGGGGCGTTTCTCAGCCACTGCGGATGGAACTCGGTGTTGGAGTGCTTGAGCCAAGGCGTGGCCATAATAGGATGGCCGTTGGCGGCCGAGCAGCCCTATTATTCTAAGATGCTGGTGGAGGATATGGGAGTGTGTGTGGAAATGAGTAGAGGAGTGGAGGGTAGTATTGTGAAGGAGGAAGTGAAGAAGGTGATAGAAACGGTTATGGACAAGAAAGGGAAAGGAGAGGAAATGAAGAAAAAGGCAGTTGAAATTAAAGAGTTGATAAGAGCAGCAGTGAGAGAAGAGGGAGGTCATAAGGGGTCTTCTCTTCAAGCACTGGATGATTTTATAGCTACCCTTCACTATAAGAGAGAAGGAAGGGTTACTAATCATTTAATTGAAAACTAGATTATTTTTTGTCAATTGCTTGGGACCATTTGTTTAGTACGTATTTGATGATCATTGTGGCGTAAATGTCTTGTTATGAGCTTATGTGTTTTGGTTGATAATATATCATTGGTTTTTAAATTTCATCTGTGGAAAACTACCTGCAGGAAGAATGTGTGCTTAAAGTCGATCACACACTACCTGCAGGCCTGCACATAAAAGTCAACTGACATTGGCTTTGTGGTATTCCCAATTTGCAGGCCTGCACATAAAAGTCAACTGACAATGGCTTTGTGGTATTCCCTAAATTGGGAGTGAGAGCGAATTTGAAAGCTGAAGCGAGAAAACAAAAAAATTAAATTATAAATGGTGAAAAATTGAACGAGAGTGCACCCAAAACATGAGAGTGACACCCATTATAAAGGATTGTATGACTTAGGGTATTCTCATATAATAAGTGAAGCCTAAATTTAAATAATGCATGTAGTTTGCTGGTTATTGCATGCATTCAAAATTTATGAACTATTCGAAGAGTTTAAAGTGAGTAGCGAGCAGTTTGAGTCTTCATTCAAACACATATATGTAATAAAAGTATATATATATAAAACTAATACTTGTAGAATGAGCAGAAGGATATTGACGAACACAACAAATTAATCAACTGTGAATTTGTTCTACAAGACAGACTGATTATGTTGCCGCGTCCCTTTTAACCCGTATAAATTCGGATGAGTTTGTTGAGGGAGAGAGAAACTATTGATGCCTTGAAAGTGA